GGGTAAATACATCTCCTATTACTGATTTACTGGTAGTCTCGAAACTCTACTCCGAAATAAAAGGTACTCAAACAATAGGTAGGAATGTGGTGTATTCATCCTATTTCGTTTATGATGATAAAGTATTGGTAGTAGAATTTGCCTACAATATTTTGAGAAAAGCTGACAGCCTTATTTTCCCAAAATTTGTACCCATTTAGGGTAGAATGTAGTTTCGATCTCACCTATGTCTTATCCACACCTCCAGCAGATGTCGAAATGTGAAAGTGCAGCATGTGAGCTTGACACGTTAACCACTCAGTCACGTTGCCACAAGTACCTTAGGATCACAGCGCAGATGTGAATTTCGGTGAAGACAGGGTTTTTCCCATATCACATTATTTGGTGGGATTATCGATATGGAAAAAGCCTCGCCTTCCTTGAAATTCGCATCTGCCATGTGACCTAAAAGCACTCGTGGCAATGTGGCCGAGTGGTTAACGTGTCAAGCTCACTGTCACGGTTCGACTCCCGCTGGTGGTGTTGATAAGACCGATTCGAGGTCGAAACTGCAGTCCAATCCAGCCTGGATGAGAACAACTTTTGGGAATACAAGGCAAGGTAAAATTCAATGGAAACGTCATTGTGGGAAAATTCAACTACCAGTCCTTCATGCCATAACACGAAATAGGGTGAATAAATCCCATATAACTGATTTACTGTTAGTCTGGAAACTTGGCTTATATACGAAATATGGGTAGGAATGTTTGTATTTTTGGGGCTGAATGTAAGCTTGCAGCCTGGAAAATTGAGCTGTAGGAAAAATAGCATCAATAACTTTATTTTGGAATAAAGTTTAGTTATAAGAGTATTTATGATAGGAGGGATTCTTTCAGGTTTAGATGCGACTCGGTAATACCTATCAATAAAATGGCTAGGTTAATATTTATTCCTTAGCTTTCTTGTTAATTGTTTAACGTTATCGGTGATGTTATCATCAGTACCACTTTAATGAAGAAAAAATAGCAAAAACAACTAAATCATTAAACTTATCACTAAGTAGTATGCGTGAAAAAACTTTCACTGCAGATGATTCCCATTTATGCGATCCTATTTTTAGATTCACTTCCGCACTAAAAGATAGGAACTCTACTAAAAGCAGCTGATTATTCCTCCCCATTTATCGAGTGAATGAATGTAAGAAGTACTTTAAACAAAGGCGTCAGGAGCTGTGAGAACTATGTTATCAATCTGTTGACATTACGTAGTAGCTAGTTGGTCTAAGGTATTGATTTTCACATTTCTTTTGGTGTATGAAATCAATGAGCCGGTCAAAACTAGGTCTTAGTGAAGCTAGAGTATTGAAAATTCCTATATAAGAAATGCACAATGGATCCACACACGTTTTGATATTAAACCTAAATGCCCTTTTACAGATGACAACGTTTTTTTCTTGGATATAAGACAGAGAGGCGTAGGCCTGATTTTAGGTGAAGAAGGATAGTGTTAAGTTAGAGTAAATGAGAGAGCACATTGCTTATTAGTGAGAATAAGACTTCGCTTAAATTTTTGGCAAATCATTTGTGCATTTAATGTAATCGTAAATGCTCTCAACCGACTTCGGAGGAAAATTAATTTAATAATATAATGCTAAATGGGCAGAATATTAATTACAAGCAAAGACAGTGGTTTCACTCACCGTTGACTTGCCATGCTTGCCATCGATCACTACTGACTGACTCGATTTTGTTAACCAACTGCCTATCCAATGCTCTCCACTAGCCACTGGGCAACAGCCTACATAATGTTTCCTGCTGCTAGCACTGTTACCGGTTGTATCGCTGCCACTGCAACTCACCGCCCCCGCTGACTCCAGGGTAGCCCAGGCTGTATTAACGCCATATTGGTCATCTCCATGATAACCAATAAATCCAAGAGGTTTGGGCTCCGAGGGGTTGTGTTCACTTGGAATATTCTCACTGGTTATGGTTTTAGTAATATTGGAAGAATTCGGGTAATTTTCTCTAGAAGCCGTAGCAGTTATACTGTCCAACTGACCTGTAGATATCTCGATATCCTGTCTCAGCCCCACAGTTGACACTGTTCCTTGTTCAGGCGTACATTTTTCATCGCTCCCTTTCACCGGGGAAGTGGTGACGCTGGGTGTACTTTCAATTATCTCTGCGCTATTAGCGAAGGATTTGTGTAGTTGATAAGGGCCGCAGAAGTCGTCACCACCGCGAGAAGCCACCTCGAGCAAGCCCTTTCCCGATATTGACTGCGGAAGGGATGCCGTCTTATGTTGATTCGTCAATCCATCAGTCAAATAGACATTGGCGGCTTAATTTTTAAAATGTATACACTTGAATTAGCATTTACAAAATACAGATTAAAATGAACTTTTTTTACATATGCCTGAAATGGGTAGCCATGGTATGAGGTCATGGCTTGTGTAACTTGGAATAAATAGGCTTTCTCTAAAGTCGAAATTGTAGGTTATCAGGGAATTTATTGCATATTCGAATACTCACACTCGATTCTTCAAAGATAAGAATCTACATTAATCGATGCTCCTTGTGGCAAAAACAAACTAACCAAAATTGGATTTGTTGAGAATCAACTCAAAAATAACCAATTTTTTGTAGGTATTCGTATGCCTTTATTAGCAACTTATGCTTGGCCAGTAAAAGTTATCATTCATATTATTTTGAAAGGCCTATCTTCTTTGACAAAAGGGAGATGGTGGAAACAATTGGGCAGCAGATATAGTTCATCTAAGTGGCTTATATGCAGGTTAGTGCCATTCTAAAATTTATTGTGTTCATAATATGACATATTTTCCTAGTGATACGCTTTTTAATTATTATTCACAATTGATGGAAATTTTTTAAGGCTATAAGGCCTTTTTATGCGCTATTCATTTTCCCCGAGTCAATAGAAAAGCAATAAATATGTACGCTGATAGATGTCCTTTTGGGCTTGGTAGTCTCGACTGTCACTTAACTCAATTTCATAAGTTTTATCAAGTCCAAAGACAACCCAGCTAACTTAATTAACTAACAAGGCAGGGTCAAAGTCATACTAAAATCTGAATAAATTCAGTTATGAGCAAATTTTAGAAAGAATATTTGAAGGATAAGTTGAGAACAGCAACCTACGAGTAAGAAGAAGATTAATCCTCAACACTCCTAGCAATATTTAACCTTCAAGATCCTTTTTATGATTTTATGAATTAAATGAGAAAAAAAGCCGCTTAAAATTTTGTGAAAAAGATACTCAATGAAAAACGAGCAGACAGGCTCACTAAAGCCGCACAATTTTATGCAAGAACAAATCATGTTCATAACTTAGGGCAAAAATAGTTAGGTGAAG